TTTTTTATTATGTTATGTTAATCACCATACATTACATCATTAGTTTTTGATGTAGTGTTCCATGATTCATTGTTTGCATATAACACCCAGTGCTCCATTCAGTACATGCCCTCTTTAATGCCCATCACCATCCTTCTCCCCCCTCCCCTCTAGAACCCTCAGTTTGTTTCTCAGAGTCCATAGTCTCTCATGGTTCGTCTCCCCCTCCGATTTCCCCCCCTTCATTCTTCCGAAAGATCTGTTCTTTGTCAAGATTTCACCTGTTCTGTCTTAAACCATAGTTATTAGGTAGTGAAATTCAGTTCTTTTTCCCTTACCGATTCAGTGAGGGTCATCTCTCAACATCTTCGTAGAGCCGTAGCTGTTTTGTGGGTGAGATGACTTGGAGTCAGAAGACTGGATTCTTAGTGCCATAAGCTGTGTGATGTGGTTGCCTGGTTTGTAAAAACAAAGGGGTAGACCAGCTGCCCTTCAGCCATGTCGTCCACAGTGCTCTTCTCCAGCCTGCGTCCTAATCTTGTGACCTGTAATGCAGGGGCACCATAGGTTGGGTGTCCTGTGAGTAACGGCTGGAGGTGCCTGGTGCATGTGAATGCTGGAGAAACAGACAAAAAATGGTAGTGGAAGAGTATACAAAACACTCAGAGATAGAAAACTGGTTTTCTTGTTACTTATTTTTTTAGAGTGGGGAGGAGGGGCAGAGGGAGAGAAAGAATCTTAAGCAGGCTCCATGCCCAGCTGGACTCCAGGCTTGATCTCACCATCCTGAGATCGTGACCTGAGCTGAAATCAAGAGTTGGACGCTTAACCAACTGAGCCACCCAGGCGCCCCACCCCAGAAAAGTGGTTTTAAAACCCGTTAAATTTTGTGATCTTGGGCAAGTCACTTAACTGCTTCAAAACTCAGCTCATTTGTGAATGGGGAGTAATAATGCTCACTTAATGATAAGCTGATGTGTGTGGGAGCTAAGCATGTGTTGGGGTTGGGGATGGGGAGGGAAGAGAGAATTAGGAAGATGCAAGGGAACCAGCTTGTGGGGCATGGAACGTGATCGACAGACCTTTGATGGGGCCCCAGCGGCTGTGGGAAGGACTCAGGCGCTTGGGGGTCTCATCTCTGCAGCTCCCTACACCGTCATCACTTTCCCCTTCCTGTTTGCTGTGATGTTTGGAGACTGTGGTCATGGGGTCGCAATGCTACTGGCAGCGCTTTGGATGGTCCTTAATGAGAGACGCTTGCTCTCCCAGAAGACGAACAATGAGGTGGGTGTCCGTCAGATACCTTGCCTCATTTCCTTGAGGCTGTGAGTAGAATAGGAAAAATGTGTATGTTTTTTCACCGTAGAAATAACCTGTTTTATGAAAAGCAAAAGACAGAGAGTAAAAAAGGGCCAAAATTCAACACAGAAATGCCTGCCCAAAGCTTGATGCTTTGGCTTGGTGCGGTGCGGTTCCTTTCAGCATTCTTGGTTTTTTTGTACATCGCTTGACAAGGCATTGATCTTATTTTTAAGTTTTTTCCCCCTAATATTGATTTTTTTCCCCCTTTGGTTATAAAAACAATATATGTTTATTTTAAAAATGGGGAAAATACAATTTAACTTCCTAGAGAAAAATCACAACTTATGTTTTTATGTATCTTTCCATTTTTTTCTGTGCTTATACACAAATAAACAATTTTTAAAAAACTGCGATCAGATAGTGCATTTTAATTTGTGGCCTTCTTTTTTTTTCCACTTAAAATATCACAAATATTTTTTCCAGGGCACCTGGGTGGCACAGCTGGTTGGGCGTCTGACTCTTGGTTTCAGCTCAGGCCATGATCTCAGGGGCCTGGGATCAGGCCCCACACTGGGCTCTGTGCTCAGCGGGGAGTCTGCTTGGGATTCTCTCTCTCCCTCTCCTTCTTCCCCTCCCCAGCGCGTATGCGCTCTCTCTCTCTAAGAAAAAAAAATCACAAATAGTTTTTCACGGCAGAGCCCTTCTCCCACAATCAGCCCATGACCAGTGTTCTTATGAAACACCGAGAAACCCTGAATATTGTGTCTTCACTTTGACACTTGAAGTGTCCACACCTTCTGTGAAGTGCCTTCTCGGTGTTGTGAAGGTTGAGACAACTCGAGAGTCTGCAGTGTTTCAAAGTTAATTAGTTAGGGTCACTTTATGTTCATTGTAATACATTTTATAAGCCGGAAATGTGCCTTTCACTGTGTTCTGCATTTTAAGAATATCTGCAAACTTTTATTACAAGTTGTCTTAACTAGAGCTAGTTCAGTGATGTCACAGTGGGTTAATCATCAGCAAAGTTAGTGGGAAAATCTACTGGCCAATATAGTTTTGCATGACCAGCCACTTTAACAGCTGTAGTTGCCTATAATAAATATTCCAAGTCTCAAAGCTACACTTGAGCAGGTCTGAGAGTGATCGTCACACGTCATTCAGTATTATAGAAGCACTTGACTCTTCTTAGTGGATGTGCTTAGACAGAGACTCGATTTTATAATGACAAGACCCAAAATGAGTGTAGATTTGACTTGCAATGAAACTGAGCCACCGTGTGATCCAGCTCCGCGCTTGTCTTCTAGAAGCACTTGAGACAACCCCTGCCCACTGTCACGTCCCCTCCCTGACACGTGAGGCCTCAGCTTCTGGTACAGTGATGTTTTCTAACCAATGATCACTTCAAGAATATGGGGCTTACATGGTTTTGCTTCCATAGTAACAATTTCTGGTCTAGGACTCTTCTGATTCATGGATATAAGCTCAGGAAAATAATGTGTGTGTGCTCTATTTGGATCGCTTTGATGTTGCCTCGTCCCGTGGCCTCTCTATAGGGCCTGTGTGCCTTGCTGGGGCTATTCCAGTGGTGCTGGAGACATCCCGTAACACACTTGCCACCCCAGGGTCTGGTGCTGAGCCCACTGACTGTCCTCCTCTCTGTCTTCCTGAGGCCAGATCTGGAACACCTTCTTCCATGGACGCTATCTGATTCTCCTCATGGGCATCTTTTCCATCTACACGGGCTTGATTTACAACGACTGCTTCTCCAAGTCTTTCAACATCTTCGGCTCTTCTTGGAGTGTCAGACCCATGTTCAGAAATGGCACGTGGAAGTAAGTTTATACAGACAGACATGGGTCGGGGGGCCTCAGTGGCGGATTTCATGGCCAGGAAGTCTGCTCAGAGGTGTGCCCACAGATTCAACAAAGAATTCTGTTTTATCTCCTGAGTGACAGACCTCAAACCAGTCCCTCAGTAACTGGACTAGTAACTGTAATAAATGGAAATCGTTTTAAAATTTCAATTAAGTATATATCACGGAGTGCATAGCGCTACTGCGAAAGCAAACTGTGGAGCAGATATCAACGGGTATCAGTTTGTATAAATGGATATCATCTTGGTATCAGTCACAGAAGCCAAGTTCCCTGGAGGAGAAGGAGGCCTTTGAAGCATGCCTTGTTCTGGCAGGGAACTGGAAACAGTGAAATTAGGCACCCAGGGGCTGAGGAGAGAAGGCTGATGTGGGTGTTGAACTATATATAAATGCTCGATTCCCTGTGTTCAAGGTCCCAGACTCATCTGAAGGGCATTTTCTTTGACGGTTTCAGAGCAGCTTGATTCAACGTCGAACACAAAGGAGGGGATGGCTAGTTTTGCAACAGTGGTTCCCTGTGTCTGGTGGGCGATGCAGTGAGGAAGGCAGGTAGGGCGGCATGCGTGTGGGGGGGGTAGCTGGTGAGGACATGGCTGCAGAAGAGAGGGACCTGGGAGCTCTCTCGATGCCCACCAACCACAGCTTGGACGGACGGTAAGAGTGCGGGTGACTGTGTCGTGGAGGTTCGGTGCATCTTTTCGGTTTCTCTGCTGGGTCCAAGTTCCTTGAGGTAGAGGACAGGAATGTTAAACAAGCAATAAAATTAATTAATGAATTAAAATGAAGAATAAAACATTTTCCAGAATTACAGATGGCTATATTGACAAGGGTTTTTGTTTTTGTTTTTGTTTTTGCTTTACAATTAGTACCCTGAAGAGATGCCTAGGAGAACAAAGCTTTCATAAATTTAAAGGCAAATTACTTAGATTTGCTCTTTAGACTTAAACTCGTAAGTATAATGGTGGACTGGGAAACATGTTAAATCAGCATCATTTCACCAAACCACCAAGATGAAATCTAATTTGCCCAGGAGTGCGATTGGGAGAGGTCCGAGTCAACTGGCTTTTTCCCATTCTGCAAATGTGGGCTGGGATGTTCTTTCATGCACATGTGAATGACCGCTGGCTCAATTCAAGGCTCTTGGAGGCCAAGCCCAGTCTGAGGGATGCTCAGTCACGTGCCCAGGCATTGATTATATGAAGTGGGACCTCATTAACTGAGACAAACGAAAATTGCCGTCATCCATCAGAGTGGCAGAGGACACAGCAAGCTGATTTTGGTCCCGAGTCACAAGCCAGGTCTTGGGGCTTGCTTTCCCTGACAGTTGACTAGGGACACTGTCACAATGCTCGTCAGCCCAAGACCACCAGAAGCCTGCCTGTCGTCCCCCAAAACTGAGGTTATTGACTCAGGGAATGTGCTGAGCCAGTGGGGAGCTTGAGTGTCTCAGCAAGAGGGCGTGGGAAAGGGCTTACAGTGTCTGGCTCCCCAGAGGATGAGGGCAACATTTGGTCATTTCTGTGGTTTGGGCATTGTCCTTGCTTTGGTATGTCCATATTTTGATATCACATATGACTGTGGATCGGTCTTGTTTGTGTCTGGGTCCAGCACGGTCACAGGGTGGCTTTGTCTGGTGTTGGTGTTCTGTGAACTTGTTTACGTTCAACAGCAGATACTATGACTTCACTGTGGCGGCCAGCTCACTCCCATCGGGGGTTGCTTTCTTCTTTGTCCACACACAACAAATCTCTGTGAATTCAGTGCAACCATTTGCCGTGAGGCATGCCTTTAGCAGGGCGGTGTCTGTGTCTGAGATGGCCAGTCAGGGCCAGTTGTTTCTGCTGCGTCTGGAGGACCTGATCAGCATGATCAGGCTCCCTGACTCCCTGGCTGCTACCCAACACTCTCCAGTGCCTCAGCTGTAGGAGGGAGGGAGTATATTCCTAGGTAGCTGGCCAAAGTTGCCAGAACTCTGTTCCTCATCATTTCACTACTCCTTCTTGGCCCCTCTATAGATGTGTGCTCTGTTAAACAAACAAACAAACAAACAAACCCATAATGGTCTTGCAGAGATAGTAAGAAATTCCTACCCACTGACGTCCATGCTTCTGGGCAAAGTTGGGAGACTGATTTAAAGGCATTCAATGGACTTTTGAGAGCTAAGTTTCACAGAGATTAGGGTCCATGGGTGAAAGCCACTTCATTCCTCCAGGATGAGCCCACGTGCTCCCCGGGGAGGTTTCCCAGGCTTGTCCTTGGGCTGAGATTTGTTTCCTCTATGCTCCTTCATCCCTAGCCCGACTTCTTTTCTGATGTGGCATAACTGTTTTTCTTTACAATACTCCACCCGGGTAGGATCCCTTTGGAGACTCGACATCTCAGAGGCCGGATGGTCATGTCTGTAGCCTCAGCCTCTGGGACGATACTTGGCACACAGTAACCATTCATGGGATGATTGAATGAGCCAAAGGATGAGTTGCACCAACAGTGAGGCTTTGATTGGCTTACAAGTTCATGACCACGGACACTATTGTATATTTTTTCTACCTCTGGTTGATCATTGGTTTTGTTCTTATTTTTCCTTTCTCCCTCTGTAGCACATACGTAATGGAAACAAATCCATATTTACAGCTGGACCCAGCCATTCCGGGAGTGTACTCTGGAAATCCATACCCATTTGGGATTGATCCGGTAATGTCTTCTTGGGTTAAATATTTATTATATAAAATGTCTTGCTGAGGAGATCTCTAGGTAGAGGAGGCGAAAGTGCCAGAGACTGTCAAATCGACACATTTATGCTGAGATAGAATTACATATTCTGGAGGTTTTATGACACTGTGCAGGACTCAAGTAAATGTCCTACCTATACCCTTTACCTAGCCCGTGGTTCATTTTCCATATAGTTGCTCAAACATCTGTCTCTTTCTCTGATAATTTATACCCCTGATGGTTAATGATTGCTTCTTTCAAAGGCCCTTGGTTGCCTGGAAAGCATGCATCTTAGAGGAGTTATTTAACATCCCAATCAAGTTGCCTACTCTGGCTTTTTCTTGCAGTCAGTAACATCTCCCTTTTCCTAGGAAAGTGTGGATTTGCTCTTATTTTTGCTTTATTTTACCACATAGAATGGATATAAGTTTTAAAAAAAAAAGGTGTGACTTAACTTTTCTGTGGTTGTTATAGCTATCTCAGTTCGATTTGAGCCAAGCAAAACAAAGGTGCTTCCTGGCGTAGCCTTTTAGGTATAAAGGGATTTCGAGAAGGCTCCCATGCCTGTTTGCTTAAAGCCATATACACATGATGTCCCAACACATAACCGCCACCAGGTGGCAGCCTTGTGCCCCAAATGAGCTTGAGCGGGCTAGACCCAAACTTGGCAAACGCCGTCAATAAATGTTTCTTCTATGCTCTTTTTGTGGGAGAGATCCCAGGACCTCAGTTTTGGTTGCTGACAGTCGAGAGTAAACATTACCGGCCCTAAAACTGTACTCTCCTCTCTATGGGTCTCTCTCTCTTCTTCAGTTTCTCCGGGTCCTCCCACCGCTTGTCTGCCTCCCATCCCTTAGAAAGATAGGAGTGCATCACCCAGGATTTGTTTATAGTTGCCACGCGGAGGCACTTGCAATTTAAGCTTTATCAAAAGAGGTGAAGTCCTTGAAAGCTTCGTTGTAAACTGCAAAGTGCCGAAAACAAATGCAAGTTGTTATTTTTGTGGACTGAAAGGCTTTTTCTGTGGTCCAAGGAATTTCATGATTAGTCAGGGGGCAACAGAGGAGTATAGAGGGGGCTGATCCTAGGGTCTGGTTGACCTTCCTTTGCTTTGAATCTCTTTGCCGCTACTGTCCTCTCTTCGCTTCCCGGCCCACCCCTGACCTATCAGCAGATCCTGCCTGCCCAGTTCTGCTCCTCAAAGGACAGTATAGTCACGGCTCAGAACCGACTGGGCTGGAGTGTCTACTGTGCAGGCGGTTTTGTCTGCCTGCCCACCAGTTAGAGGAAGGAAAGAGGGGAGGGTGGAAGAGAAGTGGGAGGGTGAAAGAATTAACGTTTTTCCTGGGAGCAATTATTTTTGAAATTTCTGGTCTTTTTATTACAAAATAAGGCATATATGAGATTAAAAATCCATATAATACAAAATAGTATAAAAAAAGAAAGAGTTCTCTCTCCTATTCTGGTAATTCTATTCCCCAGAGATACCCCCTTTAACAGAACATTTCTGTGCCTGTGTTAGCACTTACCTATTTTTAATTTTTTTTTTTTAAAGATTTTATTTATTTATTTGAGAGAGAGAGAATGAGAGAGAGCAAGCACATGAGAGGGG